TTTGTAGAAAATTTACATGCTCAGATAAGGCTCTTTACACAACAATAAAAATAATCTTGTATACAGACAACTTACATTCATCAACTCAAGACAAACTTTATTTAATAGTTTTAATAATTTGACTAATGAATTAATCTTTATATACATATCATTAGGGTTGGGAAATAACGCGTTACTTGTAACGTCGTTACCGTTACAATTACTTTTTTTCAGTAACGAATAAGTAACGGCGTTACTTTTCATAATTTATAATGGCAACAGTAACGCAGTTACATTTTGTCGCCAATGGTAACGATTATAATTGTTACTTTTCTCATTATTTTTTAATCCATTAATTTACTAGATCATAGCAATCTAATTTATCGGCTCCATTTCATCGACTTATCGACGTAATGTATACATAATGCCAATAAATCAGACTAACTATGTTCCAGCGAACTTCACAATTCACTGTATAATTCTAGTGTCGCATACGAATTATGCGAGCGTAGAGCGCACATGAACATAACTTTTTTGTTTTCCTTTTACTATTATTTAAAACTAGATATTTAAGCTTTAGATATTATGCGTTTAAATTGTACAAAAATAAAAAGAGATTTTTTGCAATGATTGATTGAATGATTTGCAACAATTAATTGATTATATTTAATTTTTGCTATGAAATATAGAAGTTTTTAGAAATTGTTAGAATTAGTTAAAGATAATTTCGGAAATTACTTGTAATTGTAATTGAATATATGTATTAGATACATATACAAATATATGATATTCGCAAATATTAATGTAATAAAGAATATTGATTTCAAATTATATGTTTATATAATTATGTATTTGACATATATTTTGAATCGTATTTGAATAATATTTTTTACTAGAAAATAAAATTTTATAAAATTATTTACATTTACCGCAGAAATTCGTATATATTTTATGTAAAATAGTAAAAAAATATAAAAAAAAATAACGAGAATAGTAACGATTCGTTAATTTTGAGTAATGGTAATGATAACAAGTTACTTTTCTGAATCGATAACGAGTAACGCTAACGAGTTACCTTTCAGAAAAAAAAATGACGGTAATGAGTTACTTTTATAAAATAACTTTGCCAACTCTGCATATCATCATCAATGGCGCTATAGTCCAAGTCAGGCATACACCTACCTCTCTCGCTTACATATACCTGTGATGCGCACGCAGATTGTACACAGGCATACCTACAATTTCATGCCGAATCCGAACGGCTTGATTGAGAGAAATTTCCGTGACAAAGATACTCTTGGCAATTTGCCAGACCGCCGAATTTATATACATATAGTAAATTAAATAATTATGTGTATAAAAAAACAAAACTAAAAAGTAATTACCTTATCCTATTATATGCAGTATTATATCATATTAAGTATTATCTAAAAACTGAATCAATATATAAAAATACTTTTACTATTATATCAAGTACCATGCCTAAACGCGTTAAATTTTTTATTAAACCGATTAAATGCTTCTCAATCAAAACTATAATCTTGACATTTTTCTAGAAAAATTTTTCATTTTAGAATAGGTTACAGTATCTGTGAAAGGATATTTGATAACTTTGGGACATTTTGTATAAAAACAAATAAAAAGTAAAAATGATATAAATATGAGAAACAGTAGGGCAATTGAGAATCAGCGCTGTAGAGGGGTACAATTACACTTTCAATTCAAACTCAATTTATTAATAAAATTTCCAAATGTTTCAACTCAAATTTGAATCATTTTCAGTGGTACGATAAACTCAAGATATAATTCTGTATTCAATCGATGAGCTTAACCATAAAAATTGATAGTATTATATCAATCATGTCAGTCAATTGAATGAAAAATTAAATCAATGGTTGTCACTTGAGTTCTTGCCTTGAGCTCAAGGTATATGTTCTTTGTAATATATTTCTGTAGCGTGATTTATGCTGATTATGCTCTTGAGTGTTTTTTCCATTTTTTACTGTGAATAATATCCATTTGGTGGCTGATAATCATTTCATGACTACTCTTTCGTTTGATTTAATATGATAGATGACAGATATATGTCTCACATTTAAAATTTATTAATTAATAATTTCATTCAGTTGACTGATATGATTGATATAACACCGTCAATTCTTATGGTTGAACTCATCAACTGAATACAGAGTTATACCTTGACTTTATCCTACTATTGAAGATGACTCAAATTGAAACGTTTGGAACTTTTATTAATAAACTGAATTTGAATTGTACTATAATCGCGTATCGTCTATAGCACTGATACCTTACTGAATTGTTCTCAATTATCCCTGTTTCCCATTGTTGTAACTCTGAGAATCATTTTTGTTAATATTTAATCTAAATGTGTCGATTTAATTATAAAAAAAGCAATATAAAAATTAAAATAAATGATGAAGTCACTTTATGATTTTGTTAAATATATTTTTTCCTTTAAGCATAAATATATATAATAATTAATATAAATCTTACCAAAGCATCAGGATTTTCAATGTTTACCATGTATTCTGTATTTTCATTTTCATCTTCATCTTCCTCTGGAGAACTATGAGTTTCACTACTGCTTGTAGCATGATCTTCTGCACTATCTTGCTCGCTATCCGTTGTTGTACTACTACCACTCATACTACTACTGCTACTATCAGTTCTAGTATCATGCATTGAAGCTTCTTCTTCATCTTCTTCTGCTCCACCAGCTGAACTGTCTCCACCAGCTGAACATTCATCTATCTATATTCAAATAGAATATTAGCTATACTAATATTTTGTCAAATTTTAACAGAATATTGTAACAGATTAATATAAATTACATTTATATTAAGTTTGTGCTAATAAAATTATTGCCATAATCTAGTAGCAAAAATCAAATAGAATTTGTTATTTTATAAATGTATAAACAGAATAAATATTATATAAGGTATTTTTTAACTATAGACATAAGTTGATATAAGTTTAATTCTATCTATTTATATCATCTTTCAAATGTTAAATAAGAACAAATAATTAAACTTATATTGATTATTATCTCTTACTAGAAAATAATCTTAAATGATTGTAAAATAATAAATTCTAATTGATTCTTTGCCATTGCATTTTGTTAGCAAATTTCATTATATTTCTGCTCTATATGTTCTATAAACAAAATTTGTACTAGACATTTTGTAAAATCTGTGCTTGACAGAGTTGGCTGTTTGGATAAGGATGCGCTTACTATGATTTATATACATAGATACACATATTTATATATGTACAAATTATGCAAAAATCTCTTTTTCTTTTGTAGAATAACTTAGATCAATGTTAAAAATATTGAAATATTAAAGATGTTAAAGACATTATCTATATGCATATGCACACGCGCCATACATACATTTCTTTATATTCTATTATATATTACAATTAATATTAAAAAGTAGAAAAGATTATAAATTATATTATGTGCAAATTAAATAATTTGTTATATTGCATTTATAAATATACGTCAATATTTGAATTCGTATTACACCTTGTATCAATGTAATATTTCTCGTTACAATAAAAAAAACTAACCTCCATTTTTCTAATTTTTCAACCTTGCACTCTTACTTAGAGTAACTTGTTACTCTTTCCACCACTTACGTTGTACCTATCGAAGTAACTGTCTTTCCACTAACATGTGTGTACACTTATCATCAACTCTAAATATATATCTAAACTACGTATCATCAGAGAAATCTAAAAATGGCCATCTCGGTCTTTTTCATAGAACCGTTGAATCCTCTGTTATATACTAGCGCTTCCACTGAAATATTAGGGTGCGTTTCGTTGCACGCATGGAGAATGTATGAGGTCATTCCGTTTCACTTCATGCACAGTTCATACGCGCATAAAAACAATTTCCTCTACCATACCGCGCAGGATTAAACGACAATTTCCCGAAAAATGGAAGGGATAATGTTGGTACCAACGAAATCCTCTAAACAAAATAATTTTAGTATTTTAGTATTTTAGTATTAGTAATTTTAGTATTTCTATGGATTAGTAGCACTGTTCAAGTAGTAAGTTGTTGATTTGCACATCCTTTTCTTTGTCAAAAAGGATGTACAAACCAACAAATTACTACTTGAACAGTGCTACTCATATGCGCGAACATGTATGTAATAAGTATTATATATCAGAATGTAAGTATAAAATACATTATAGTATTTTATTAAAATAAAATTAAATAAAGACAAATAAGTGAGAACATAAAGTGAATAAGGTGAAAAACAATGATAAATATTATATAT